TATTTTTACAAATTTCATGATTTTTGAATGCCTGGAACTGGCAATACTCTGTATTTCACACCATATAGCCTACAGCAGTGGTTCTTAACCAGGGCTACATGTATCCCTGGGGGTATGCAGAGGTCTTCCAGGGGGTATGTCAACTCATCTAGATCAGAGTGTCTCAACCTGGGGGTTGTGACCTCAGGGGGGCTGCGGGATGGATTTAGGGGGGGTTGCAAGTGCAGTGCTGGCGTTAGGGGGTGGCAAGCAGGGCAACTGCCTGGGGCCCCATGCCACAGGGGGCCCTGCAAAGCTAAGTTACATGCTTCAGCCCTGGGCAGCAGGGCTCAGGCTTCAGGGGTACAGTAGTCTGGAAAAGTTGAGAACCACTGGCCTACAGTATAATATGTACAGTGACCTGTCAAATAAGAAGCTTTGTTATTACTGCCCCCTCGTGGTGACTACAATGGAATCCAGGGCATTTCTGCTGAGACTAACAGCAAAGATATCTTAGTGGCAAGAAGAAAAGGAGTACTTGTGGCACCTTAGAGACTAACCAATTTATCTGAGCATAAGCTTTCGTGAGCTACAGCTCACTTCATCGGATGCATCCGATGAAGTGAGCTGTAGCTCACGAAAGCTTATGCTCAGATAAATTGGTTAATCTCTAAGGTGCCACAAGTACTCCTTTTCTTTTTGCGAATACAGACTAACACGGCTGTTACTCTGAAACCTGTTATTAGTGGCAAGAGCAGACTGAAATCACCTACTCTTTTCACAGAGACCATCAGAGGGTAACAGCTCTGGATCTCTAGTGACTTGGGATCAAATCTGGCTCATTCTAATCTCATGGGTCGTCCCAGTAAAGTCAGTGGAACTACTCACCTTAGTAAGAGCAGCAGGATTTGAACTGACAGCTTAGATATGCCATCCCCTATGTCTGCCCCACTGCCACTACCCTTGCCCATCCAGTGTTACACAACTCTTTGGACAGAGAACCTAGAAATATTTCTCACTGGTCTCTTTTCTCCTTTGTATGGTCTCAAATCCTTTGCATTGGGGGTGGGGGGTATTCTCTGACTGTTTTGTGTCCCTTTAGCTGTGTCTGTTGTTCTTTGTGCTGAGTACAAATATAAGTTTTTCTCCTCTACATCTTTTTTTCAGAGCAGCATCTGAAGGCTCACCAAGGAAACCCCAGCTCTTTGGAAAGCTTTTTGAGCCTGGATAATCATGATGGGGAGATGTCAGGTGGATGAAACTGCAAAAGTGTCCAGTTGCGGCATGAATACCATGCCCATGGAATGTTACATGGTCCTCAATAGCTTCGCTCAGAAAACAAGCATAGCTGTACTGTGCTCCATTTGTGGGATTCTGTGCATTTTGGAAAACTCTTTGGTGTTGTATCTGATATTTGCTTCCCCTAAGATCAGGAAAAAGCCTTCCTACCTCTTCATCAGCAGCCTGGCCCTAGCAGATGTCCTGGCCAGCATTGTATTTGTCTGCAGCTTTCTTGATTTCCATGTCTTCAACAGAACTGACTCCTCTAAAGAGATCTTCTTGCTGAAGCTCGGAGGGGTCAACACGTCCTTCACAGCGTCCTTGGGCAGCTTGCTGCTGATGGCATTTGACCGCTATGTCTGTATCTATCGGCCATCGGAATACAAGGTCATCGTGACGAGGAAAAGGGCTGTGGTGGCTATGGCTGTGATGTGGATAGCTACCATAATCACTGCCTTCCTGCCTCTAATGGGGTGGAACTGCTGCAGGCTAAACTCAGCCTGCTCTGAGCTGTTTCCCTTTGTTGATAGCAAGTATCTGTCAAGCTGGATCTGCCTGGTAATGATTCTGCTGGTGTGTATAGTGTACACCTACGTCCGGGTGCTGTGGAAGGCTCATAAGCACACAGTGTACATGGAGAAACGCCAAAGCCAGGCTGGGAAGCGGAATGCAAAGATGAGGATGGACGTCACGCTCGCCAAAACATTAGTGATGGTCCTGGCAGTTGTCATGACATGCTGGTCCCCAGTGCTGGCTCTCATGATGTACAGCCTCTTCGTCAGCCTGAATGATCACATCAGAAAGGTGTTCGCCTTCTGCAGCACCCTCTGCCTGGTGAACTCCATGGTGAATCCCATTGTGTACGCCCTCCGAAGCAGGGAGCTGCGCTCCTCTTTGAGGAAAACCAGCTCGCGGTTCAGAAAGAAGGTGATCGCCTCAGAGAGCTCCCCGACCCCAGAAGCAGACAGCACTCTGAAATCCTTACCGATAGAAACCATCTGTGGTGACATTGTGTACAACACACACATGAATCTGCTGAAAGCCTGAGCTTTGACACAGGAAACATATGACAGATTTTGGATTGTTTCTTTGAAAAGGAAGAAAATCTAAAGCTGCTTTTCTCTGTAGCTCCTGGGAGGATTCATGACTGAATGCCTTGCCTGGGAAATGAAGTCATTTGGCTGTAATGGTATTATGAAACATTTGCAGACCGCACCCTCCTTGTGCCTGGGACTTTACTTAGTGAGTAAAAGACATGGGCCCAGATTTGTAGTGGTATTTAGGCACCTAATTCCCATTTATTTCCAAGGGAATTGGCTGCCTAAGTACCTTTAAAAATCTGGGCTGATGGTTCCTACCTTCTAAAGATCAGATAAACCCAACCAAAGGAAGACTGGACCAACTCTACCATACGAATACTACAATGATAGCATAGCAGGCATTCATAGATATTACAGTGATGGGTGCGCTACAAACACCATGGATGGATGGATAAACAACAGAAGCAGTCCACTATTTTAGGGCAACCCTCCCAGTTTATCAGACTTAGTCCACAACTGTGTCAACCAGTGATCTCCTTGACCCACTTATCTTGTAGTCAATGACCTCTTTCCTCCCTACTCTAAAATTAAGTTCTGGCCCAAGGAAAATGTGCTTTGACCCACGTGGCTGTAGCACAAGGGTGGTCTGTGGCCACTCAGCTGCTGGGACTGCAACACTTTATATGCAGTTGTGGTTCAATATGCTAAGGCATCGAGCACACCGCAGCAGTGGTGAGAGCCCCACACTCCTGTTAAACTCAGTGGAAGTTGAGCACCTTGTCCAGGATGGAGCCCTCAGTGGGTCTTATGCCTAGATACTCAAAGGTATTCAGACTCCTGACTTCCACTGAAATCAATTGGTGCCTAAGTAGCTTTGAGGAACTGGGCAGTCTGAGAGCCTCAGTGTTTAGGAGTTTGATTGTATTCCAGGAACATTTACAGCCAAGTATGGTTTCAAAGGAAATGTATGAGTGTGGTTTATTTCTCATCCAACTAAGGAGGCACATTTATCCCTTGTGTAATTTCACTGACTTTAGCAGGACTGCACCAAAGAAGAATTAAGCCCTTTGCCTGGAATTATTGAGAAGCTGTTTTAAGAAGGTGCTGTATTGTTTTGTCCAGAAATGCAGTATGTGCTGAAGATGTTTTCTACTCTAGGCAGGCAAGATATTTGTTCCTAAGAAATAAGACATTCCAGAAGTATCTTTTGCAGAACATGTCAACTGGACACAGGCAAAATAACACAAGCAAAATAAATATTGGGGATCGGTCCTGCTATTGGGGATCAGTCTTGCTTTGAGCAGGGGGTTGCGCTAGATGACCTCCTGAGGTCCCTTCCAACCCTGATATTCTACGATTCTATGAACACAAGCACCAGTCAGTACATGTGGCCAAGAGCATGTCATAAAGACTTGCACCTACTTTACACCAGTGCTGAATTTGCCCCCTTGGGTGCAGCATATTAATATGATTATAACATCGGCCTCCCAACTCCTGACAAACACGAGAGAACAACATTTGAAACTTAACAAAGCACACTTGGGCTGTTAATAATTGACCTCAGTCATGCACGTAAACTTACCTGCAGTAGTATATGTAAATATGCCTCTTGTGCTACATACTATAAACCACTATGTTGTATTTAGCTTGCAAACTGCCATGGTAAATCTATTAGCACATCATTAAATGGCTTATTTGTTTTAATAGTTAAACTCTACACAGAGTAAGAATAAAGAATGTTTTCTCTGTGGCTTAGAAATCCTAGAGCAGGGGTGGGGAAACTTTCTGGCCCGAGGGCCACATCTGGGTATGGAAATTGTATGGTGGGCCATGAATGCTCACGAAATTGGGGGTTGGGGTGTGGGAGGGGGTGAGGGCTCTGGCTGGGGGTGTGGGCTCTGGGGTGGGGCTAGAAATGAGGACTTCAGGCTGTGGGAGGGGGTTCTGGGCTGGGGCAGGGGGTTGTGGGTGAGGGGAGAGGGCTCCAGCGGGGGGTGCGGGCTCCGAGCTGGGGCAGGGGATGAGGGGTTGGGCATGCAGGAGGTTGCTCTGGGCTAGGATGGAGGGGTTCAGAGGGTGGGAGGGGGATGAGGGCTGACAAAAGGGGGTTGGGGTGCGGGAGGGGGTCAGGGGTGCAGGGTCTGGATCCCACTGCCTGGCAAGAGCTAGAAGGCCGGACTAAAACGTCTGGATGGCAGGATGCGGCACCCGGGCTGTAGTTTGCCCAGCCCTGCCCTAGAGTAACTAAGTGGTTGTATGCCGTGTTGTTGTCGGCCTCTGCTGTTTGCTACCAGTGGCTGCTACCATAGACATAAGGATGCCTTTGCAAAATGGATGTCAGTGCACTACATGGGTTATCTGCTGAATTGTAGCTGTGTTGGTCTCAGGACACAAGCTGGCTCAGGTCATATCTTTTACTGGACCAACTTGCTTCTGTGGGCAAAAGAGCCAAGCTTTAGAGCGACACCTAGGGCAGGCCTGGGGCAGGCCCAGCCGGCCGGGTGCCCGTGGGTCACCCCACAGGGTGATGCCCTCTGTGGTGCAGGGGCTCCCAGGGCCCCCCAGCTCCCGGGACCTGCCCTCTGCCTCAGTGCCTGAGCTGAGACAATCCCAGGGGCAGCACGTGCCGCCAGCGTGCCCCAGGAACCACGTGGCCATGGCCTCGCTGGCGACGGCCTGTCCGCGCAACGTCCCCTGGCCAGGGCCTCTCCAGCAATGGCGTCGGCCCTGCTCATCACGTGGACGGTGCCCGTCACGTGGTCAGCGCCTGGGCGCCTTGTGCTCCCCTTTTGGCCCGTCTCGGCTCCCGTCTCGTTGGCGGAAGGGCGGGGCTTGGGCAAAATGGCGTCGCTGGGAGAGGCGGGCGGGCTGCTGCTGCTGTTGGTAGCCGGGGCGGCCGGCGGGCCCCGCTACAGCCCGGACTGGCCCAGCCTGGACGCGAGGCCGCTGCCGGCGTGGTTCGACCAGGCCAAGGTGGGGGTGTTCGTGCACTGGGGGGTGTTCTCGGTGCCCGCCTATGGCTCCGAGTGGTTCTGGTGGCACTGGCAGGGCGAGCGCCGCGCCGACTACGAGCGCTTCGTGCGGGAGCACTACCCGCCCAACACCAGCTACGCCGACTTCGCCTCGCGCTTCACCGCCCGCGACTTCAGCCCGCGCTACTGGGCCTGGCTCTTCGAGCAGGCCGGCGCCAGGTCAGTCCCGGCGGGCGCGCCTGGGCGCGGGGCGGGAGCCGGCACTGGTGACTTGGGGGGCAGTGAGGGGCCCCTTGGTCTCTAATGGGGAGTGGCCTGCGGGTGAGCGGGGGTGGGGCTGTCGACACTGGTGACTTGGGGGGCAGTGAGGGGCCCCTTGGTCTCTAAGGGGGAGTAGCCTGCGGGTGAGGGGGGTCGGGTGTTGGCACTGGTGACTTGGGAGTGAGGGGCACTTGTCTCTAATGGGAAGTAGCCTGCAGGTGAGCGGAGGTGGGGGTGTCGGCACTGGTGACTTGAGGGGGAGCGAGGGGCCCCTTGGTCTCTAATGGGGTGTAGCCTAGGGTCTGGGCTGAGAGTGCAAACCAGGGCAAGGGGGCACCCCAAGGGCGGAACAAGCAGTAGCTGGGTGGGGAGGGGAATAGAAGATAGGGAGGGGGTAGCCTCTGTGAGGGCAGGGTGGCCCTGGGCTCTGCTGCGGGAGAAGGGTCCAGGGGGGTCCCTTGGGGCAGGAGTTCAGTGGGTGCCGTCACTGGTGACCTTTGTGCACGTAAAACATCTGTAGGGGCCATTGGTCTGCTCCATCCCAGGATCCAGAGCCACTCCAGTGGGCAGAGTGTACATAGGGCAGAACCCTGGTTCCTATAGTTTTCAGAGTAGCAGCCGTGTTAGTCTGTATTCGCAAAAAAAAGGAGTACTTGTGGCACCTTAGAGACTAACCAATTTATTTGAGCATAAGCTTTCGTGAGCTACAGCTCACTTCATCAGATGCATCCGATGAAGTGAGCTGTAGCTCACGAAAGCTTATGCTCAAATAAATTGGTTAGTCTCTAAGGTGCCACAAACACTATAGGAACCAAGGAGTACATTTCCCTGCTGGGGCCAACCCCTATATTGTAGCACCCTGAGGATGCATCATTCCCAGGAAAGGAACACATTCATGGATTTTAAATCTTGCATTAATCAAAGCTAGAGCCAGAGGGAACCGGTTTCTGCTGCCTTCCACCAGAGCAGACGTCAGGTGATTTACTTGAGTAGCTGCTTCCTCTTTTAGCCAATGGACAGTCCCTTTCTGAGGCCTTAGTGAGATATGGTTTCTACAAACTTACACAAAGCAAGAATGATTTCATTTTGTAAAATGAGTCTCAAAATCATTAAGTTCGCTGGAACCATGGAAGCACTTGGAAGTGGTGGTTTATCACTCAGTGGCTTTAATGTGTCTAACTTTGAAAGTGGATTTAGTGCTGTTGAAAGATGCCACTCTGACAGCACTGTTGATTTTTATTCTTAGGTTTACCCTTTTGCCCTTAGAAGTTCTCCCTCCACTTTGAGGGCAAGGCATTTGTTTCACTACTTGTGTTCTGTCTGCATAGGGTATCAATCTGTCACCTTTTTATCAGCACTAAAATTCATTTAAAACTCCTTAACTCTTGCAAAGGAGAGAACTTGCAAACAGGTACAGTCAGAAAAGGAATCTGAGACAGCTCTTGGATTTGGAGTATCTTAGGTAGGTTCTATTTCCGTCTGAACAAGGGGCTTTGATTTCCGCAGGTATGTGGTGCTGACTACAAAGCATCATGAGGGCTTCACAAACTGGGGGTCTCCTGTGTCCTGGAACTGGAATTCTGTGGATACGGGGCCCCATCAAGACTTAGTGGGTAAACTGGGACAAGCTCTCAGAGAAAGGTATGTCACTGCTCTTGTACATACTGGCAAAACTTTGTTACCCAAGAACTATTTCCAGTTCTTGAATTAGATGCCCATTAGTGTCTCCTAGTTCTTTTTGATAAATTTGTCCCTAAGCACATACTTTTCAACAAAACTGTTTTGCCTCGGGGTAAGAGAACTCTCGTACCCAAATCTCCTGTTGGCTTCCTACAGGATGGCGGCAAGATCCAGGGAATAGGGCATGGGAATCAGAGTTTGACAACCTGGGCTATATTCCTGACGTTACCACTAAGTCACTGTGTGACTTTAGGCAAGTTACTCAGTCTCTCTCATATGTGAGGAAAGGAGTGTGATATTTACCCACTTTTTGGAAGTATTTTGAAACCTATGACTAGATATAGCATTCTCTAATGCAGACTCGGCACTGAATACTACAATAGTAGGTGCTTGTGACTCTCTTTTTTTTTTTTTTTAATGTAAGCTTCACAAGTATAGTGAATATGCAGAGAGATCTTTTTTTCAAACTGGTACTTTTTTGTTAACCCAACTTTCATCTCTTTCCTTTCTTTGTTTAATATTTAAGGAACATACGCTATGGACTCTACCATTCTCTCTTAGAGTGGTTTAATCCTTTGTATTTAGATGACAAAAAAAATGGCTTCAAGACACAGAATTTTGTCATTTCAAAAACTATGCCAGAGCTTTATGATCTTGTTTTAAGGTAAGAGCTGCAACCTTTTAGCGCCCCTGAATATTACTGTATTTCTTTATTTGTTAGGGGGATAAGGATGTGGGGCAGAGGAAGGGAGACACTTTAATATTTGCTGTTCAACCACAAGGCAGATCTCGCCTTCCTACAGCAGCAATTTGGGATTTGAGGTGGTCTGAGAAGGGGATCATGTTAGCTATCTGTGGTTGGGAGCACTTTTTCCTCAATGTTATTTACTGGCCATTATGCCTGCATGGAGACAACTTGCACTTACCCTCTTTTGTTAGTGCTACACCCCCACTTTGGGTATGAATGATACTCCCATCCTATGCTGCAGCAAGGATCTCCCTCATGGGTGTGTGTTTTTGTTCCCCCACCAGGCAAATTTCCTGGCTATGTCATACAATAGGAGAAGCATGTGAAAGCAAAGATAATTGTCACAAGGCAGTATTTTTAATTCTTGCTTATGAAGTTTAGTCTTCTCTTTTGGCTGGGCCAGAAGTGGGAATGTTAAATTTTCTAGTAACATTCATCTGTCTCCTAGGTATAAACCAGATCTGGTTTGGTCAGATGGTGACTGGGAGGGTCCGGACACATATTGGAACTCTACTTCTTTCCTTGCCTGGCTTTATAATGATAGTCCTGTCAAGGTACTGCTATCTGCATTTCCTTCATGTCTTCTGGCCATTACATAAATATGGAAAATCAGGCAGCTTCTACTACTGGCAGAATCTAAGTCAAAAACCCTTAGGGTCAGTCGAAGCATATAAATTGTTGAGGGCATCTAAAGTATTTGACCTTTTAATCAAAAATAATGAATGTACTTGTCGTTATCGGGAGACTAGTTACCAAAGATCCCAGAACAAAACCCACAAACTTGTTCCTTTGAAACACTGCAGTAGAAGGATTGAGTGTCTAAGTCAAAACGGTTTCTACTCTGAACTGTCTCTCCTCATTCTAGGATACCGTTGTGGTAAATGACCGTTGGTGCAATAACTGCTCCTGCAATCATGGAGGATACTACAACTGTGCCGATAAATACAAGCCGGGCACCCTGCCACAGCACAAATGGGAGATGTGCACGTCTATTGACAAACTGTCTTGGGGCTATCGAAGCAACATGCAAGTCAATGAGCTCATGGATGAATCAAGTATTATCTCAGTAAGAACATTTTAATATAAATAGGGGGATTGCTGGGGATTAGAGGTTGTCTACTTATCTGGCAAAACAGTATGACAGGGTGATGGCTAAAGTAGCAGGGATGATGTGAATAAAGCTTTTATGCAGGTTCTTTCTTTCATAGTCAAGAGGGAAAGTAAAGTGGATTCACGTTATTTTCCTGTCTGTCACAGGAACTAGTGCAGACTGTGAGTTTTGGAGGCAACTATCTCCTCAATGTGGGCCCTACAAAAGAAGGGGTGATTGTTCCAATCTTTCAAGAAAGGCTTCTGTCCCTTGGAAAATGGCTGCATGTTAATGGGGAGGCAATTTATGCTTCTAAGCCGTGGCGGGTGCAGATGGAGAACACCACAATTGATGCATGGTAAGAATTACTTTACACAAGACCACTCTGAAACAGACCCATCTCAGGCTGTGGTCTCATGAGCAAAGAAGGGTTGAGCTCGCTACTCTGAGAGCTCCAAAGAAAAATAAACACTAGAAAGACGTTGGTTCACAAGTCACCCTCTACTCTCTGAGTATTGGACTGTTCCATGCTTTTTAAAAATAAAAAAAAATCAAAAGTAAAACACTAAAGATTCCATGGTGCTTCTCCTGAGTAGGAGTGTTTAACCCCATGGTCTTGGCTAAAATTCTTAGTTGCATGACTGCATTTTGTCTCCCTAAACTCCTGTGGTTGGCTTATTATGGTGGTATTTACTTCCCAGATTCTTTGTAATGGATCTGTGCGCTGTTACCCAGCAACTGCATTTCCTCAGAGGAAGAGGTGTATAGTAAGTGTGTAAGGAGACCAGAACACGACAAACCTAAACTGTTTTTAAAGAGAATAATGAAATGACCAACATGAAGCTTCACAAGAGCTTAATCTACACTAGTGACCACAGCAACTTAAAGCAAGGCTATGTTGCAAGGTGACCTTTGTTTTTAGGGAGCGTATGTGGACTTTGTTTAGCTTTCCTCAGTCCCTGCTGACTGGATAAATGGTGGCTCCAAAGTATTGAGGTATGCAAGGAAAGCAGGTGACCCCTATGCGGCTGGCTTTCCCAATATGACTAGACTGATTAATGGGGGGGAGGCATGCACTTTTTGCTTTACTTCTGACAAAGCCAGATGCTTGTGTCTCCCTCTGTATTTTTGGTGGTCTACACACCTCTGTACACCATCTTATATTCCCTCAGGTACACTTCTAAAGGATCAACTGTCTATGCCATCTTTCTGACCTGGCCAGAGAGTGGTGTGTTGAAGCTGTCTTCACCTATTCCATCTTCAAGCACACAAGTAAGGAATCTGAAGAGTAGATAATTAATCTCATGAGTCCATCTCGGTACCTGAAGGCTGAGATGGCCCAGCCTGGGTTCCATTAAATATCTGGTGAAAGTATATATAAAGTTGTCTTCCCTTACTTCTAGTCTTGGGTCTTAAAGGAATTGCGATTCCTCTTTCTGTGCGTTCACCTTGCTTTAAGCCACCATTATTCTCTAAGAAACGCTGGATAGGACTCGTCAGCACTGCTTGTTAACCTGACATAGTACCGACGGGCATTTCTTCCACAGAGTTCCCAGCTTCTGTTGACTTGATTTGCTGTGAAATGAGCCAAGACTCCCAAAAAGCAGTAGGACCACTCCGACAGGGCAACACAAACTAGAAAAACCCTATTAAACTACTTACTGCAAATGGCACAGGGAGGGGGCTGTGTCATCTCCAAACTGCCATAAGAAAAATCTCCCCAGTGAAGAACCATAGGCAGATGCTGGGCCAAAAATGTGCTGTGTACAGTACTCTGCAGCTCAGTAAAATCTGGCGGGATGGAAAGTAGTTGGGGCTAGCTCAACCGCTTGAGTGTCTGCAAATACATTGAACTTGCTGACTGAGATGTATTTAAACAGGAAGTATGTGCATGAAGCAACAGATGAATATTGTTCTTTCTCTCTTTCTTCAGGTGACTATGTTGGGGTTCTCTGAGACACTGAAGTGGGAGAAGGCCCTATATAAAGGATTGATGATCACTTTGCCCTATGTACCTCCATCTGCTCTCCCAGTGCCGTGTTGCTGGACTCTCAAGCTAGAAGGTGTGGCGTGATAGTGACCTTGAAGAAAAGCAAGGAACTAGATTGCTTTTTTGCTTTGATCAGATTTTTTTTTTGAAGGTGAAGGAATCTTAATAAATTGTTTTTCTTGCTCATCTAAGAGAATAGCTTTGAGCCACTCTGGCCAAGAAAACAGCTAGGTCAGTGCATCTTGGGTGGGAACGAAGGCCTGATGTATACGCAACGTTTCATCTGTCCGAGAGACGTGTCCAGCAATAGTAATGTTCTGTTGCTGGATTTTGACCTCAGAGTGTGGTCAGACTACTGCGATGAGAGATCCTTAGCTGGGCTTCCTGGCAGATGTTACCACTTTGCCACCTTTAACCATGGCACTGCAGCCTAATAGGCATGACTGTCACATAAGGTGGGTGGGAGTGTGAACAAATTTAGTGTGGGACAGCTACAAAGTTGGTTGAATTAGGATCTGCAACCCGCAAACACAGAATGTGAATAAATGGTGCTCAGTTACTACAGTGATGGTTACCTTACAAATGCTTAAGATTGACAAAACGAGCGATGGTCACCCTGCCAAGAGGGTGCTTACCTGCTAAAGGAGAGATTTCACATTTTTAATTATCAAAATGTTCGATATTGCTGTTAACCAGACTATATGGAGGGATGGAACTATTTTCATGTTCGTTTATGATCAAGGAACATGCCTTGTACTGGTGTGTAAGTCTGCACCATCAAACTAAGCAAAACAAAGCAGGAAAAAACATCCACTGCTTCAGGACAGGAGCAGGTCTCCACTGAAGCTGTCCACTGCACCTATGTTTTAACTATCAGCTCAGGAGCTCTGGAACTGAATCTTTTATACTGACTGATTTGAATATTCATGTCACTTAAATGGCATAATCTGCTTCTTGAAACTAGTCTTTAACTCTAATCAAAATGCAGTAGCCTAACTTTATTTTCTGGTGTGTGAAATTATTAAACATTCTGTTTAGGGTGAATCCATTATGCCATTTAAAGTCTAATTGGAATTAAGCACTTTTTCAGATTCTTATGTGCAGTGTATTTTCATATGTAAATTTAAAAAATAAAATTCTATTAAAACACTGCTGCATTCATTTCATGTGAATTAAAGCTGAATTAGGTATGATTACAAATATTTGTAATGTAAAATAAGTGGATTTATATTAATGTTTGAAGGAGATTAGATGTAATGAATTTAAAGAATGAATCTGAGCTCTCTCTAACATTCATATAAATTCAACTGAATTTAAATTCTTGTCCTTAAGATGTGGGTGTAGTTACATTTGTGGAAAGAGCTGTAAGCAGATGGTAATCTGTTCTTGTAAGTCTTTGCAGAGGTACTGTTGGTCTGACTTAAAATCAATATAACTCTTCAGTTTTGTTAAACAAAAAAGCCCCTCTCAGTACTTACATTTGATAAGTTTGTAAAGGAAGGATTTCACAGCACATCCAGGTTAAAATTATGAAACTCTGTTCTATGAGTCTGCAATTTACTAGAGCATGGGGGAGGAAAGTGCTTATAGACACAAGTGTCACTGTTCAAAGTGTTGTACAGCAACCCAACAACACTGTGCTCCAAAGCAGAAGATAGCAGACTCCATGTAAAAGTGGCTTAGAGCAATGGCTCTCAAGCTTTCCAGAGAACTGTCCCCCTTTCAGGAGTCTGCATGGGGCCAGGTCCCTTCCAGTCCTCCACATCTGAGAGCCTATCAGCATGATAGGTTTCAGAGTAGCAGCCCTGTTAGTCTGTATCCGCGAAAAGAACAGGAGGACTTATGGCCCCTTAGAGACTAACCAATTTATTTGAGCATGAGCTTTCCTGAGCTTCCGCTCACATGGAGCATCCGCCACATGCAGTGAGCTGTAGCTCAGGAAGGCTTATGCTCAAATCGGTTAGACTCTAAGGGGCCACGCGTCCTCCTGTTCGTTTTTCTTATCCCCATGATGCGCTTCAGCCGCGTCTCCTGCAAGCCTCAGGGCTGAAGTCCCGGCCCCTGTGGGAAGGGGCCGCGGGGAGCTGCGGTCCAGAGCCCTGGGACGCTGGCTCGGAACGGGGCCGGGGGCAGGTGCTGAGCCTGGGGCTAACTCTGCCCCGGCCGGCTCCCGAGACCCGCGAGCGCGGCGCTGGCGGGGCAAGCAGCGGAGCCGGCCCTGGCGAGCTTGCGGGGCTCGGGTCACGTGCTCAGCAGCTGGCGGCCGGGGCGGGGGGGAGAGGGAGAGAGGTCACATGACAAGGGGGCGTCTGTCACGTGAGCGTCCCAAGATGGTGGCGGCCAAGCGGGCGCTTCCGTGGTTGGCGGCCTCGCTCCGCCCGGTGAGTGACTCGCCGCTGCCCCGGGCCCTCGCATCCACTTCAGCGAGCCCAGCGCTTACTTGGGCCCCAGGCTGCCCCCCCCCCCACTTCTGCTGCGCTAATAGCAACGCCGCCCTCCGGCTTCTCCGGAGAGCTCGGGGCCCGTCTACACTACGGGGGCCGTTAATCCTCCTCCCTGGAGCCCGCTGCCTCCGCGCCGGGCGTTAGCCTGGCTACCGCGCCCAGGGCAGGCGCGTGCTCGCAGCCCTGAGCGAAGGAGCTCGGCTGCCCGAAGTGCACGGTGCGGACCCGGCCTGACTCTGAACCAGTTCCAGATTGACGTCGTGGGGCTGCCCTCACGGCCTGGCCACTGGGGTCACGGAGCAGGTGTTTCGTTACGGGCGGACCGCGCTGGTCCTTTCAGCTCTCCCGGACCCCTTTAAGGAGAGACTGCTGTATAAATAGTCGGTCTACAAAGGGCCGTGCTGGCTCATTGGTTAAGTGTTGCCAGCTCTTCTGATTTCATCACGAGAGCCCTGATAGTGGGCGCTAAGCTCTGGTTCCTGGATTCACTTGTGAGTCTCTCCGCTATTCTTTAAAACAAAGCGAAACCAAAAAAAGTTTTTTGGTTTTGGGGTTGCAGAGAAAAGCCTGCAAATGTGACCCAGATTGCCCTCAAAGGCTCAGAAAGCAGAAGGCAAATACAAAGAACACCCACGTTTATTATTTTTATTTAAAAACTCATGCTTTTGGGGATTGATTCATGATTTTTGAATGCCCTTTTCTATGTTTCTTAGTATGTGAAACAATCATAGACACAGTTAATGTTAAAAAAAAAAACATGAAAAATTGTTGTCCTGTGTGGTTTTAAAGGGTCTTTTTTTCCTGCTCTCTCTGTCTCTTGCGTAGATCAGCTCTACAGCAGCTGGCTCCCTTCCCAAACAAGTGAAAATAGTTGAAGTTGGCCCAAGAGATGGACTGCAGAATGAAAAAGTAAGGGACTCTGCTCTCTGTGCTCCGCTTATGACCGAGGGTGTTGTAATAACGTGTTGATTTAACATTTGAACATTGTGAGTCTGCTGTTTCAACACTGCCCTGCGTTATTTAATTCTCCCAGTCAGAATATATTTGTAGCTCACAATCTCCTCCCCAAAATCCTGTTACTTTTTTCTTCAACTTCCAATGCATTTATTGCCATATAAATTGCCAAATGTGTTTTGTTTATGACAGGTTTCAGAGTAGCAGTTGTGTTAGTCTGTATTTGCAAAAAGAAAAGGAGGACTTGTGGCACCTTAGAGACTAACAAATTTATTTGAGCATAAGCTTTCGTGAGCTACAGCTCACTTCATGCTCAAATAAATTTGTTAGTCTCTAAGGTGCCACAAGTACTCCCTTTTCTTTTTGTTAATGAGTCCATTTGCCCTTGTTTCTTGAGGCATTCAGCCTAATCTAACTTCTGTTATACCTCCCCTGTGTATATAATGAGAGGATGATATAATTAACTCACAGGTGAGCTTGTCTTTTATTTGTATTACAAATTATGTTGAACTAGAATTCCCTCTTGTATTCAAAACAGATTTTCATGTCTGCTGCCAGAGGGTAGTTTGCTATTACCCTGGTCCTGCAAAGAGTTAAGCACATGCATGACTTTATGCAGCTCAGTAACACCATTGAACTCAATGGGTCTGCCCATGTATGTAAACTTAAGCTTTGCTTACAACTCTGCAATATTAGGGTCTAATACCTAGTGTAATTAAATTCCTAAGAGAGAACACAAATAAAACTACTGAGGACATATGCAAGGCTGCTAAGCCCAGGGTTGTTACGTTTTATCTTAAGTCAGTTGCTTTGTTTACCTGTTTAAAAAAAAAAAAATCTGTCTGCGCTGAACAGTGTGTGAAGGGTAAAGTCTGTACAGTCTAGGCAGCAAGAGTGAGAGGTATGGTATAGCAAAAATTCCATTGTTAGTTTGTTGGGAAAGAGCCATGTGTTGTAGCTGATGCTGGAGAGCTCCAGTTCATGGTGTGATGACATAGCTGTGATATATCCCCTATTAAGGGGGAAGTGAGACTTCTTTTCAGCAGTTCAACCAGAGTCTACTGCAGTGCACAAAATGAAGGGAGGCCCTGCATGCGTCACAACCGCACTTAATAGCGGCTGTGAACTCAGTTGTAGCTGAACTCATCGCAACTTCATTGCAGCCTAGATAGGCAAGGGCTAAAACAGAGGTGGGCAAAGTACAGCCTGCAGGCCACATCCAGCCTGGCCCTTGAGCTCCGGGCCGGGGAGTCTAGCCCCCAGCCCCTCCCCCCGCAGCCTCAGTGTGCCATGCAGCCCGTACTCTGGCCCGCTGCTCCTGCCCGGCAGCGGGGCTGGCTCCGGTGGGGCTGTGAGCTCCTGCTGCTCTGAGCAGCATGGTAAGGGGGTGGGGAGCGGGGGGGTTGGATAAAGGGCAGGGGGTACTGGGGGGGCAGTCAGGACAGGGAGCGGGGGGGTTGGATGGGTCGGGGGTTCTGGGGGGGGTGCAGTCAGGGGATGGGGAATGGGGGGGGTTGGATAGGCGTGGAAGTCCTGGGGGGACTGTCAGGGGGTGGGGGTGTGGATAGGGGTCAGGGGAGAGAGAGCAGGGGGGTTGAATGGAGGGGGTGGTTAGGGGCGGGGGGGGTCCCAGGAGGGGGCAGTCAGGAGACAAGGAGCGGGGTGGGGGGGTTGGATGGGTCGGGGGTTCTGAGGGGAGCAGTGAGGGGGCGGATAGGGGATGGGGGCCAGGCTGTTTGGGGAGGCACAGCCTTCCCTACCCGGCCCGCCATACAGTTTCACACCCTGATGTGGCCCTTGGGCCAGAAAGTTTGCCCACCCCTGAGCCAAAGCCTGGGCCTCTTAATTTGCTTATCTTGTGGTTTAGGTCCTGCCCACACAGGCCAGACCAAATTGGTCAGAACCCCTTTCAGACACAGCTGTTAACAGCCATAAGTAAATTCAGTTGCTGTGGCTGTGCAGACAGTGCCTTTGCTTCAGTGGGAATTAAGAGCAGTCTGCAGGATTGGCCCCTTAATTATCTGTGTGGCTGGCTTCTACTTCTGAGGGTGTTCCATGGGACCATGGCACGAGTATTCCGCTTTGGATGCGCTAGCAGCAGAGTGAAACTGACGGGGGATTGTTGAAAAATCTTCTCTAAATTCTGAACAGTACTTTGCTTAGAAACTCATAGAATAAAGACAGGTTTCAGAGTAGCAGCCGTGTTAGTCTGTATTCGCAAAAAGAAAAGGAGGACTTGTGGCACCTTAGAGACTAACAGATTTATTTGGACATAAGCTGTCGTGAGCTACAGAAAGCTTATGCTCAAATAAATTTGTTAGTCGCTAAGGTGCCACAAGTACTCCTTTTCTTTTTTCATAGAATAAAGCATCACATTTTACTATTATAATAGATAACAGAACAAATCCTTTAATAAAGTAGATCTGTATTATCTCTTTTAGTTTCTTCTGAAAAAGGAGTTTTTCAACAGATGTATAATCTTTTGCTGTATTAACAAGATTTGTTTTAAACTAACTTTAATCTAGGGATGTTTCTCTTTCCTCCCTGTAGAATATTGTCCCTACACAGGTGAAAATCAGCTTAATTAATATGCTGTCTGAAACAGGACTTCCGGTCATAGAGGCTACCAGTTTTGTGTCTCCCAAATGGGTTCCTCAGGTCAGTAGCTGGGATTACTTGGGATTTTGTGTAATCAGAAAGTGGATTTCAATATGGTTGCAGAAAGTTGTTAGCCTGTTAATATTCTATTTTACACTGTTAAATATTGTCTTAAACTTTCCTGAGTCAGAAATAACCTAACATTGCTTCACTGGCCTGTTCTCTGTTATAGTTAGATCACTTATAGCATTTATTATTATTTGTGTTATGGTAGGCCCTATAAACTCCAATCAGGGATTAGGGCCTTATTATGCAGAACACTGTGATCACACATACCAAAGAGTCCTTGTCTCAAAGAGTTTGCAATCAAGTATAAGACAAGAGATGACTGGTAGAGTGAGGAAGCATAGGGTGATATTACACCAGTCATAATTGCCTCATTATTAATAAGACAGACTAGAGCTTCCCTTTGAACACCAGTGAAGAATAAGTGCAGATTCAAATGGACACACAACTAAAAGAACAAGAGAGATCCTCTCCTTGAGTGGATGACTCTTAAGTGATCACTTTAAAATATCCCCAGTGTTTCCAGTACAGTTTTGTTTGGCTTTTAAAGAGCCATCTCTTTAAGTCATGATTTTTTGCTAGTCCCTTGGATTCTCATTTGAGACATTGTCTTAAGAAGCTTTTTTAACTCACTGAATAAATAACCTCTTCATATATTCTAAAGTTTTTCTCCATTTGCTGGTTAGATGGCTGACCACACAGAAGTCTTGCAGGGAATTCAGAAATTTCCTGGTGTCAGCTACCCAGTACTGACCCCTAATCTTAAAGGATTTCAAGCAGCGGTAAGAGAAATGTATTGTGTTTTGGATCTGAGTTCTCTAGTGTGCATTATGCATGTCATTGTCTGGGTGGGAGCACTTCAAACAAGTGGGAGATATGTAGAAATTGTACTCTAACATTTCCTCTGATTTTTCTTTTTCTATCAACGTGCAGCAGGCAGCTCTTGTAGTTTATCTAAAGAGGGTCTTTCCTAGTGGGGAACTTGAAACACACCATTTATAATGCAAAAATCTGTGTTCTTGATTCACGCCCCGCCCCACTTCTGGTGATCAGCAGTGGTATTTCTGTCTAAACAAACCCTTCTGTCTCTGCTTCCACTATATCCTGTGGAAGTGGCTTTAGTGCTGCATTTATGGCTTTGCAATCATTTCAATGACACACTCAGATGTCTCAAATCAAGGGTTATGTTTTTGCTGTGGGGTGAATTGAGATGAGAATCTGGTTTGTAAGGGAGAAAGCTCTTATATTAAAAACAGACAGCTTCAGAAATTGCAAAGGGTCTACAGAGCATGGCTGACCAAAAAAAAAAAAAAAAAGGTTTTTTTTCAACGTACTCTGAACAAAATGTCTTTGGGGAAAATTCTCTCTAGGGGAAAACAAATTTTAAAATTACAAATCCTATAAAACCAATAATCTCAGTAGAATAAGGCTTTGTTCCAGTAATGATCTGTAACTGCACCTCTGGAGTAAATAGCTTTATCCCTTCAACGTATATCTTCACTGATACAGGCTGCTACGGCCACACAAATTCCTCATTCCATTGAGGTTATTGCTGATACATACTTGTTAGGCAAAATGTGAAGTGGCAGCATTCACATGGCTCTACCAGTAATGTGCAAGAATCCGAGCTTCACAATAAATCATGCAAGTATAACAAGAAGAATATTGACCTGTCGAGTGCAGCCGGTGGTAACACTGAGCTTAACTGCTTGGTGCTGAGTCAGTGGGAGCTGGGGCCTGTTTGTTGGGTTTGAAGTCAATGGGAGTGGAAAATGCTCAGCATCTTGCAGGATCAGACCTTTTACAAGTGCTTTATTAGCAACAGAAATGAGTCCTTCTGTTCTTTCTCATCTCCCTGTTGGAAGGTGGCAGCAGGGGCCAAAGAGGTGTCTATCTTTGGAGCAGCTTCTGAACTCTTCACTAAGAAGAACATTAACTGTTCCATAGAGGAGAGTTTGCAGAGGTTCAGTGAAGTGATGCATGCAGCAGGAGCAGCCAGTGTTCCAGTCAGAGGGTAAGAGAGCCCAGTGCTAGATCAAACCAGTTTGTTAACCTGTGCTAATGATGTCAAACCATAGAGGAAAAGTCCGACTACTGGGGCATGGGCCAGAAGTATCCAAGGCTAATATGGTTGGGGAGGTGATGACCACTTAACTGTACTGGTTTGAAGCCATTCCTGTACCCGCAAAAACAGTGCAGCCTGGGACCTCTCTCCCATCCCATTTGCTGCTTATGACCCACCTTAAATTCCCAGGAGCAGAGGAGGGGGATTTACTCCAATCTCTTTTTATGCTGATTTTATTTACTTTGCTTCCTGGTCTGCATGACTTTGGAAACAAAAGAGTCCTAATCCCTTTTCATTGACCAGATACCATTATTGAGTCATTTTCCTCTCTTCTACAATGGTCAAACTGTGCTGAGGCCACTTGTAAGAGTAACTTGTCCTGAACCGAGCTCCTGGCTAGGAGTACAGCATATGACTAGGTCTCTCAAATTCGGTTCTCTCAGTGCTGTGGGTTACATGTGAATAGGTCTCAAATAATAGAATCTTCCTGTCCCTGTGGAAAGCAGATTTCACCACTTTTAAGCTTCAGTTTTCTTAATGTTTTAATGATATCTTGGGCTCTGTCAAAACAGTGGTTCTCAACCAGGGGAATGCGTACCCCTGGGGGTACGCAAAGGTCTTCCAGGGGGTACATCACCTCATCTAGATATTTGCCTAGTTTTACACCAGGCTACATAAAAAGCATTAGCGAAGTCAGTACAAACTAAAATTTCATACAATGACTTGTTTATACTGCTCTATATACTATACGCTGAAATGTAAGTACAATATTTATATTCCAATTGATTTATTTTATAATTATATGATAAAAATGAGTCAGCAATTTTTCAGTAAGAGTGTCCTGTGACACTTTTGTATTTTTCTGTCTGATTTTGTAAGCAAGTCCAGTTTTAAGTGAGGTGAAATATGGGGGTACACAAGACAAATCAGACTCCTGAAAGGGATACAGCAGTCTGAAACCGTTGAGAGCCACTGTATCAAAGGATCCAGAATTACATTAATTGATTTTCGCACAAATACTCCCTGCATCGTGGTGTGAAGTATTAAATGGTTAGCAGGGTGCCTGACCCCAGTAATGGCTGTCTGTTTCTTTGTGCAGAGGGAATTATTACAGAGGCTGTGAGCCTTTGTCCACTGAATTCCACCCTTAGGCTTTTGGAAAACTAAAAGAAATTTCTCATTATTTAGAATGCTGCATGTACTGACTGACTTAGCCTGTATTCTATTCCCCCAACACCCCCAAATTCCCCCTGCTAATCTCAGGCTATATCTGCAGGTATGTTTCTTGTGTTCTTGGTTGTCCCTATGAAGGAAAGATTGCCCCAGCTAAAGTTGCAGAGGTGAGTACACCATAAATGTAGCCAGAGGCTATCTAATCCTCGGTGCAATCCTAATGTTTGGGACAAGAATCGGGTGCCCTGAGCTGCTTGGAGGTTTGCTTTTTGCATGAGACAGAATAGGGTGCTGTTTGCTTGCGGAGATGCACCGGGAAATTTAATGACCACATCTCCCACCAAGAATTAGGGGTGTTCTTCCAATTGCCAGCTCAGCGAGGAAATGAGTGCTGAGACAGATTTAATTGGAAGTGGTATTCGTCACTTCTTGTCCTCTACTGTGCGTATCTAGTGTTTCTGGGTGCAGTCTGATGATTGTCCTGTTCCACCCCAGAGGTGGCTGCATTTTCAGGGCAAGTGAAACGATCCCTCTCTATAGCTTGTGTCTCAATGTGTGAAGTGCTTTGGGATCCTAATAGCAAATCTGTTTTCTCATTAAGTGTGTCATTTTTGGGGCAGGTGTCCAAGAAGATGTACTCAATGGGGTGCTACGAGATTTCTCTGGGTGACACCATCGGTGTTGGGACCCCTGGGAGCATGAAGGAAATGCTCTCTGCAGTCATGAAAGAGGTACCCGTTGGGGCCCTTGCTGTTCACTGTCATGATACCTATGGGCAGGCTCTCGCCAACACCTTAGTAGCACTTCAGGTAAGTGTTCCTTTGCTTCAGTGAACAATATCTGTGAGTTTTGTCTCCCCTCATGTGCTGAGGGTCTCTCACTCTCCCCTTTCCTGTGTGTGTGCACGTGTAGGTATATATGCAAACCAAGAAAATCATGGTGGGTGTGAGTGAAAACTGTCACAAGTCCCCTAGCTGGTCCTTGGTTTGGTTCAGGTACATCAACACTTGGGGTTCTTCACCCAGTGGTATCCGAGTAATGGATTCTGCTGGGTTCCATATGGGCTGCAGTAACTAGACTCAACATTCTTTGCAGTGAGCAGTATCTGAAACAAGCACTTTGGTACATTTGCATGCTCTGCTCACGAATTACAAAGGTCTGTCAAACTGCTGTAGCGAGGGAAGTGTTAATAGCACTTTATGGCCCTGAGAATGAGTTAATAGAAGATCAGGCGTATGTGCAAACTAGTATAGGACATTTCCATCGGAACATCACAGATATGGGCTGGTCTCGTATCTTGTGACACATGAGAGTAAAACAAGAGCGTGCTGGGTGCTTCACCTATCTGGGCTGCATTAGGGACTGGACTTGAACGATTCTCAGGACTGTCAGTTGCCTGGATTTGGCACAGCTCTCCCCTACCCAGCCAGGAATGAGGGACTGACCAGGACACTGTCCAAAATGCCTGTTCAGTTCTTTATTAAATCTCTTCCCCAAGCCAGAGGATGCTTGTTCCTTTGACCCAAACGTGGGCGGTGTTGTTGCTCTGATTTACAGTACGATGGGACCAGAGCTGCAGACAGTTTTACAGACGCCTGTTTTGTATTCAGATGGGTGTGAATGTGGTCGATTCCTCAGTTGCTGGTCTCGGAGGCTGCCCGTACGCACAAGGAGCCTCAGGAAATGTCGCTACAGAAGACTTGGTGTACATGCTACATGGCCTGGGGATTCATACCGTAAGTACAGTGGGCTCACTGTTGTCATGGCACTGCCTGCTCACACTGCTCTCCATCGGGGCTCAAAACGTGGCTTTGAAACTTGACCTACAAACTCCCTGACTGGCAGACGTAGCTTCCCTGTACTCGGGTGGCTGCCACCCAAATACAGTGAGGCTTTGTCTGGCTGAAGGAGCCCTTGTTGTCTGTCACGGCAAGGATAAGGGAGTGAATTGGAATCAGTGAGTCTGGACGTGAGGGCGTTAAAGCAAACAGCCAGAAAACCGAGCCCACACGGAGCAGTAATAAGTAACGAACTTCCTACACGTCACCTTTCTGTGAGTGCACAGGGGAAAGAATATGGGCACAGCTGATCATTGTTCCAGCTTCAAAGGTCATTGTGTCCCCTCTTCCCCCCAGCCCCACTCCCTCTGGATTTAGCCTCACTCCTTTGTGGTGCCTTTGACCTTGAGTTTCTCCCTTCCCCCACTCCTTCCCCGAGTGCACACTAAGGAATGTGTGACTTTAAATGCACTAGTGACCAGTTTCCAAGAGTCTTACCAGAACAGCATACCATTTTCCAAAGCTGCCCACCAGTCTGGAATGTGATGGCATAGTTGTGCAGCCCACCCAGCAGGTGCATGTACAAACTGTTGTATCTCTGTCTCGTAAAGGGAGTGGATCTACAGAAGCTGATGGAGGCAGGTGTGTTTATCTGCAAAGCACTGAACAGAAGAACCAGTTCCAAAGTGGTTCAGGCTTCCTGCAAACTGTGACACGGATCAGTTTCTCCTCCGACAAGTCAGCAAAGAAAGCCTCGGTGCAGATCTGGAGCCCTGCCAAGTTTACATTTGCTGCCTGGGTTGTGCTTAAATATTCCCTTTTGCGCTCTGGACTTGGTGAATGGGAGATTATATATAGTAAAATCTACAAAGAAATGAAATAAACAAGAATGCTATAGCAGACCTAGATGAACATGTTACACCTCTTTAAGGAGAGAGGGGAGCTGGCCTCTGACAGTGCCGTCATGAAATGGACAAACTTGTATCTGAGGGAAGAGTAAGGGACACAACCGTTGCTTTTACGCAGAGAACAGAAGGCAGTAGGCACCTCGGAAACTTCTTTGAGCTTTCTTGATGGGGGTAATGGGTTTTTTTGTTTGAGGTTAACATGGAGCTCAGAAGAGCATCCACTCAGGTTAATTACCACCTCCAGGGGATTGTCATCGTAGGACTAACACTACAGTGTACCCAGTTAGAGCACTTTCCTTGGGTCAGACTGGTTTTAGCTTCTCAGAACTGCATGGAGCAATCCTCTCCTTGCAACACGAGCAAACAGATTGAAAACACAAGGAAGCACCTTTATTCTATAGATCGGAGTGAATATCAAGGATGTAGCTCCAGCTTTGGATCTTAGCTCTTAGTATTCAGTAGTGGAGGATGGTATGGGTCAAAAGATGCTTTTCAGGTAATTGTCAGTTGTGTTAGGGAAAGATACAGATTTTATCATCTGAAATATTAGAGTAGCAAAAATCTGGTGTAATTAAACGGGGGAAAGAACAACTTAGTATTAAGTCTGTGACAGGAAATCCTATCAAGATAACTACTGTGTGAGCAGCATGCGAATGGGAGAGTGTGGAAGAAGTGCCTTATGGTTACAGGACTGCAGAGAAAATCTAGACCAGGGGTTCTCAAACTTCATTGCACTGTGACACCCTTCTGTCAATAAAAATTACTGCATGACCCCAGGATGGGGGACCAAAGCCTGAGCCTGCCCGAGCCCCGCTGCCCCAGATGGTGGGGCCAAAGCCTGAGCCCCACCACCCCGGGTGGCAGGGGCCAAAGCCCTCAGGGCTTCAGCTTCGGTCCCGGATGGTGGGGTTTGGCTTTAGCCCTGGGCCCCAGTAAGTCTAAGACATCCCTGGTGACCTCATTAAAATGGGGTCACGACCCACAGTTTGAAAAGCACTGATCTAGACCAACAGGGCAAGAAGAAATTAAACAGAACTAGTATAATTTCTGTACTTTGCTTGAATTTCTCATGTCAGCTGGAATTGTCAGCCATTCAGTTTCTATGGAACTCTTTTTATCACTGAACAAATTATTAAATGCTTTTTCATAAAAGTATGGATAATTAAAAAGAGCCTGAGCCAATTACTAATACACAAAACTTGTATTGATGGCAGGTAGGCATCTGTTTCATGGCTAACCTCTCTATTACGTACGTTCCACTGGGATGATCTTTACGGCACCAACATCCTTTTTGCAAAACACTGGCATCATAAATGTTTATGTAACATCAGTAAATTATAAATAAATAAATTAAAAATGACCGCATTCAGTGCCTGTTAGTATCCAGCTGACGTGCCGGTAACACCAGGTTAGTTTTAAAAATGCATTTAATGGTTACAGCATTGGTAATAATGACATTGTTGTTCCTGCCCTGTAGTGGGGTTCTGTTTTAACAGCTTTTCTCTATCAATCTGTCTCATGGACACTGCATTCTAGGCGTACCACCTGGCTTTGTTAACCCCTAGGGATGGGACGGTTTTCGTAACAGTACTGTCAGTTACAGCATCAGCCCCTTGGCCTGGAATGCCACTAGATGGCAGCATTTGGCGAGTCACAGCAGTAGTTACTCTGGCTCTAGCAATGGAGTTAATGTTGGAATTGAGCAAACTCCAAGGCTGGAGAGTGGAAATAAAATCACTCTTAAACCTCTCTGCCGCTCCATGGAAATACAAAATCTCTTGTGACCCAGCAGAGGGGTTAGGGAAAAACCTAGCTGGGGCTCTTTGCTCAGGCCAGGGTGATTTGTGGTTTAGAGATTTGGAGGGCACGCTCTGGCAGTGGGAGTGGTTGAGGTTGCTCTTTGCCTTGCTCTCCTGTGACTAGGGGCTCAGCTGTCTAGCTGCCAACCCTCTAGGACTGTCCTGGAATTGCATGATCTTTTAACTAAAGATCGTCATGTGATGAAATCCCCAGGAATACTCCAACCAAAAACTAAAAAAAACACGAGTCCTTGTGGCACCTTAGAGACTAACAAATTTATTTGGGCATAAGCCTTCATGGGCTAGAACCCCCTTCATCAGATGTATGCAGTAGAAGATACAGGAGCAGGGCTAAATACATGAAAGGATGTGGTTTGCTTTTCCAGGTGTTAGGTCAGTCTAAGGAGATAAATCACTTAGCAGCAGTGCTGAGCATGCAGGGCCCAGCTGCCTCCCCATTGCAAAGGGGAGGCTGCAAAAATCCCGAGGCCAAGTCCTGGGGGCAGGACAATGGCCTGACCCCAGTTCTGAGTGCAGTACTGCAGGCTACCACCCCCTTCGGAGGAAGGAATGGTTTCATCCAATTTCCCCTTCTTGTCCCCCCCCCCCCGTAATAGCTAGGGTGGTTTGGTCGAAGCCCTTTCTCGCCCTCCACAGCTAGCGATGGTCTGAACCAATCTGTAGCTCCCTTCCCCGTGTCCCTCCGCGCCCCGGGCCAAGTGGTTTGATCCAGAGCTCCGCGTTTGGCTCGTTTTGGCCATGTCGCGCGCCCGTACCGTGGAGGCGGGAGTGACACGTTCCCATGGGGAAGCGGCTGCGTGTCCCTGAGGCCCGGGGCGGGGCGTCTTATCTTAAAGGGGCCGCGCCCCAGCGAGAGCCGGGAAGAGCCCAGAGGGCTGCGGTGAGTGACCCTGCCGGGGACGGGAGGGGCGAGGGCTCAGCCCGGGGGCCTCGCCAAATGGGGGGTGCCGCCTAGTGCGGGGGTCGATGGGGGGCATCCTGGGGGAGGGGATCCTGGCTAGCGTAGGGGGCAATGGGGGGGGTGCTGGCGAGTGGGTGGGGGTCAGGATCCTGGCTAGCGTAGGGGGCAATGGGGAGGGTGCTGGCGAGTGGGTGGGGGTCAGGATCCTGGCTAGCGTAGGGGGTAATGGGGAGGGTGCTGGCGAGTGGGTGGGGGTCAGGATCCTGGCTAGCGTAGGGGGCAATGGGGAGGGTGCTGGCGAGTGGGTGGGGGTCAGGATCCTGGCTAGCGTAGGGGGTAATGGGGAGGGTGCTGGCGAGTGGGTGGGGGTCAGGATCCTGGCTTGCGTAGGGGGCAATGGGGGGGGGTGCTGGCTAGTGGGTGGGGGTCTGGATCCTGGCTAGCGTAGGGGGCAATGGGGGGGGGGGTGCTGGCGAGTGGGTGGGGGTCAGGATCCTGGCTAGCGTAGGGGGTAATGGGGGGGGTCAGGATCCTGGCTAGCGTAGGGGGTAATGGGGAGGGTGCTGGCGAGTGGGTGGGGGTCAGGATCCTGGCTAGCGTAGGGGGTAATGGGGAGGGTGCTGGCGAGTGGGTGGGGGTCAGGATCCTGGCTTGCGTAGGGGGCAATGGGGGGGGGTGCTGGCTAGTGGGTGGGGGTCTGGATCCTGGCTAGCGTAGGGGGCAATGGGGGGGGTCAGGATCCTGGCTAGCGTAGGGGGTAATGGGGAGGGTGCTGGCTTGTGGGTGGGGGGCAGGGATCCTGGCTAGTCGGTGTGGGAGTCGGTTAGTGCAGGGGTCGGTGGGGGGAGGCTGCCCCAGTAGAGTTGGGCCCCTCCCGGAGCACTGACACCCCTGGTGAGAGAAGTGGGCTCTTGGGGTGAATTCGAACCCTGCCCCTCCGCATCCACCGCTGCTACCAGGGCATGGGGGGCGCGGGGCCATCTGAGCAAGGGGTCCGGTGCTGCCCACGCTGCCTCCCCGAGGCACAGCGAGAGGGGCTGAGCCCTGGGAACACTGGCTGCAGCCAGGCTCTTTCCAGGGAGGCTCCGCTCAGGGGTCCCCTCCCAAAGCACAGACCCATGGCAAAGGCCATTCGCGCCTCATACCCGCTGTTCCAGGCCAGCAAGGGGCTCAAGGTGTGGCTGTCACTGACCTTCCCATATCGCCTCCCGGAAGGCAGGCTCCGGTCCCTCTAATCAGCCGGCACAGTCCGACTGCCTGACCACGTGGCCCCATTCACCCCCCTGCTGGACAGGGAGCCTGTTGGTCCTGCTAGGCAAATTAGTTTTGTTCTGTCCCGAAACAGGGATTTAGGCAGCGGTAGCATTTGCCATCCCCGGGTCGGAGGGGTCAGTAGGTTCCAGCTCAGTCTCCCAGCACAGCTTAGAGGGTGATCGCCTCCCGCAGAGGGAACAGGCTGAAAACCTGCTTTGGACCCTAACTGAGCTTTTGTGGGTGGTTGAGGTGGCAGGGTGGGCATGCCTGGCTGGGTGCGAAATACAGCCAAATAATAATAGGGTTGTTAGAACCCCCAGGCGGGTCTGGGGCCTATAATGGAGTTAGACCCACAGAGTAAACAGGACCAGCTGGCACAGGATACACCCATGAGGGAGCAAAGGGCCCTGTTGTAGCTTTGCTGAGGGAGGTTTAGTGGAATGTGTAGGAACTCGGGCAGTCTGGAAAGTGACTTGTCGGTAGCCAGGTATAAATGAGAGCTTTTCATACAGCAAGAAGATAACTGAATTGTGTGGCAGGGAGAGAAGGGTTCTGTTCAGGCAGGTGGGAGAGAAAAACAGAACAGGAGCACACTGAAATAATCCTTTGCCCTGTTCTAAGTGCAGAGTTCTTTACAAACGTTAACAAAGCTTCAGAACACCCCGGGAGGTAGGTACCATTATCCCATTTTACACATGGCGAAACAGAAGAACAGAGAAGTTAGGTCACCTGTCTAATTCCCACAGAGAGTCAGTGGCAGGGCTAGGAATCCCTATTCCTGGGCCCCATATTCAACTTAAGTTATGTAATCAGAGGATTTGGTTTACATGTTTGGAGGTTTTTTTTTCTTCCCCTTAATTCATTATATAGCAACATAAGCAAAAGACTGTCCTCTCCATGCAGCTGACTGCAGACGGTTCAGGTTTCCCTGTTACTCTTTTACCCATTTCCTCTTTCCTGGAGAGGTTTGCTGAAGGTGGAGAAAGTACACATGGCAGGTGGAGATTTGCATTTGTCATGTGCTGTGTGCTGTACCCCCTTCCTCCCAGCAGCTGCGCCCATTGAAAGCGGATGCTGAGCTCACGTTTCAGACCTTTCCTGTAAAACGACTTAGAAAAATGACAGGTTTCAGAGGAACAGCCGTGTTAGTCTGTATTCGCAAAAAGAAAAGGAGTACTTGTGGCACCTTAGAGACTAACCAATTTATGCTCACGAAAGCTCATGCTCAAATAAATTGGTTAGTCTCTAAGGTGCCACAAGTACTCCTTTTCTTTCGACTTAGAAAAAGAAATCAAATCAGTCTCCTACATGACGTGTCAGCCTGAAGGTTCCAGTCCTTGTTTTGAACCAGCCCAGCATGCAGATGTGATGCCTTAGGCTTAAGTGAGTCAATAAGCAAGAGTTTTGTACAGTAGCTGGTAGCTCAGGATTTCAATAGCTGCTTGGTTCCAGCTCATAGTCTGTGATGGAGGCTGGTGCCTGGATTTACATTAGGGATATTTAAACACCCAGATGCATAGAGCAAAGGGAATGGCTTTGGGGGCTAGCCGTCCCTCTCACTGGATAACGTACGAGCCTCCCATCAAGGGACTGTACAACCTAATAAAGCAAGGGATGCTAGTAATCCCGTAATTGGTGCAAAATCCATGCCAGTGGTGGTGGTATGTGTGCTTAGGTGTGTGAGGAGCCTTAATCTGGATAGTTAAATGCTGTCTGAAAAGGAGGGAGAATGGGAACTGCCTTGGAAGGGAGAGCTGATAGCAGGGACTCAAGCTGTGTTGCAGAGCCGGAATTGCCAGGTGCCAGTGAGTGCTTTACACACACCTGAGTCAGGGGCAGGCCCTGCGGCTACATACCTCCATTAGGGGCCTCAGGCGATAGCTGATTGGACTGTGCTGCTAGGCGCCGGGAGGGGAAGACCAGGCCAGACCTCGAGGTATTTCCTGGCTTTAGCCCATGCAGCCTCCTTTTACTATCAGAGTCTGTATGTGGGGCCTCCCGCTGTCCAGCCTCGAAGAAAGTGGATCTGTTTGTTAACAGAGTCCATTGAAGAAGGAGCCCCTTGCATCACTTCCTGCTCAGGCCTTTCCTGCTCCCTTGAGAGCAGCAGGACAGAAGCCTCCTTGAGCAGGAGGAATGAATCAGGTAGGCGGTGCCAATTTGGCATCAGGGCATTTACAACTAAACTGTGGGCACTTCCGAGCGGCCTGTGTGTGAGGCAAGGCTGGAGTGTGTTTCCTGATGGCTGGCTGTTTGAGACCGCACAGACAAGCAGCTAATGTTTGTTCTTGGGTAAAAGAGGGTGGATCTCCCCATAGACTTAGTCATTCCCGCCAGGTCAGAGACCTTCCCAGCTCCAGCTCTCTGGAGCCTCTTTTCCTGCGG